ACCTGGTCATTATTCGCCTAGCTTGCACGAAAGCAAACAGTTACAGTAATTTTGTTACCCACCCTCCCTCCCTATGGAGGAGTTTTGTTGTGTTAGGTATCAATAAAGTTTGGGGGGTCACTCCTTGTGGTGCGGTTAAGTCTGCGTTGCGACTTCCCCCAAGCTTTTGGCATTGCTTGTGTCTTGCCATCTTATTCATTTGCCTTAATCTTGTCCGATCCAGCCCGTGCAGCGCTGGGGAGATAAGAAAGGCTCTGCCAATACTCTTGTCCTACCCCACGGTAGTGGGGCGATAAGTGAGGCTTGTGTTTTTGCTGTGCGCATAACCTGAAGTCGCTAGAACCTGCCACAGGGCTGTGTCCCCCCCTTATTACGCCATCTTGTAGTAATTGTCTTATTTGCATGCGTGCGCTATTTAGTTGTGTTACCTTTTCAAGCGTATCTTAAGCGGAATAGTGACATTAACCTTTCGCAATCATTTTATAAAACGCCAAAAGATATCAGATTGAACTGCAGTCATTATGTTGTTTATGATTTCCCGAGCAGTAATGAGAGAAATATGATTTCTAGAGAGTTGAATGTAACAAAGGATCAGTATATTAAAGCCACCAAACAACCCTACTCATTCCTATATGTTGACAAACCAATGAAGACTGTCAAAAGAAACTTTTATGGAAATATATAATGTATTATCCTTTCAGATAATTATATAACCAATAATATATGAAGGTACATTTGAAATTTAAAAGTCTCCAATATGCTCTAATGGCAACTGAATTGCTCTATGACCTCCATCCTGTAATATTGAAAGATATGCTAGATATGAAACGGGCTCTTGGTTCAATTCTTGGACAAATTATTCAACCAAATCAAATAACCTACGAGCAAAGAGAACAACTTGCCAAATTAATATAATCTAATTATATGGAGGTATATCTAGAAATTGAAGATCAAGGACCCAAAGGTGATCAGGGTGTCCCTGGTCCCACTGGCCCTAAAGGTGATCAAGGTAACCAGGGTCCAAAAGGTGATCAAGGACCAAAGGGTGTTGGATTTAGACTTACATCAAGGGGGGATTATAATCTGTTAGGTAAACAAATAAAAGGTATGGCTGAAGGAACTTCTTTCACTAACGCTGTAAGAAAAAGTCAACTTGATACTAAACTATCACTATCTGGTGGAATAATGACCGGCAATTTGGATATGAATAGCAAAAGGATATGCAATGTAGCACAACCAGATGGTGATAATCAACCAGCTACAAAAATATGGACAGAAAATAAATTCCTGGATAAGTCCAGTGGAGTTATGGCTGGACCACTAAATATGTCCAATAATAAAATTACTCATCTTGCCAAAACAACTGATGATAAAGATGGGGTTAATAAGAAATATACAGATGATAATTATTTGAAACTGTCTGGTGGTACTATGACCGGTCATATAATATTAAATAACAACGTCCTTACTTCACAATATCAAGCAATAAACCGAAGCAGTGGAAATGCATTTTTTGTACAAATTACTAATCCGTATGTTTACCACCAATTTAATATGGTCAAAAACAAGATTATTAATCTTGGAGACCCGACTGATCCTACTGATGGAGTTAATAAGCAGTATTTAGAAAAATCACATGTTAAACCCAGCCATTACAATAATGAATTCAAATACCTAATGACTGTTAGATTAGCATGGACTGATCTCGAACCGAATAACATTGATAGTTTTAACATCACTAAAATTGATAATTTAATGCCCCAAGATGGTAACTACCATCAATACAACCACAAAGTTTTATATACAACCATTATAAAAGATCAGCAAGGAGGATACTCTTATAAAATGGGAATTAATTGTTATCGACTTGATAAGAATAAAGACTATACTCTATGTATTGAAATCCTCAATTCAGATTACCAATTATGGCATAAATCAGTTGCTGCAATTGATAAAACCACGTCAACGGGGGTATCAGTTGCCAATTTTACAGTACAAAAGTTTTCTCACAGGTACACAAATAGTAGTGGGAACACTAAGTATATGTATTATATCAAAATAATTGTGAACTTTCAAAAAACTGAAGCAAATCTGTACAGTCTGCATCTTTATGTTAATATACCCCAGACGGGTATTGATCTCAACACCTACCCAAAAAAATTGGACAAATAACTGGATGATTGCTTATGGTGTTTTCGGAAAAGTGTCATCGATTGATCCCCAAAAGACGTACGATTATCATACAGCATTTGATATTAAGCCGACTGAAGTTGTTTACAATGTTGATCTGAATATGAACAGAAAGAAAATACTCAACATAGCTCCGGATAAAACGAAGAATAATTCGGCTGCTACTGTAAAGATGGTCAAAGATTTGGAAACAAAATTGAGCCCTCATACAACAAATAATACATATAGGGAAATATTTGAGGAATTTTATGATTTTAGTGATGCTAGTAAATATAAAATAGTACACGGAATATCAGGTATCATGGTTTCAGGCATCCTACCTAATATTTATTTTCCTAGAATGAGTATTGCCAATGTTTGGGAGGGCGCATTGAGAATAACTAATACCACATTAAGTTTGGAATTATTCAGTAAAAGGAGCTTTACTCTTT